CTGGCCCAGGAAAGAGACAAAGCCGGGAGAAGGAGGGGCTGGAGGGGGTTTCAGAGTTGGAGCTACCTGGGGACTAGGAGTGAGGGCAGACGTGGGTGTCTGGTTCTCTGAACCCCATAATGGACCCGGCCGAGGGGTCCCGTTCACCGCTGTACCTACAAGCTCTGTTTTAGACCATGTTCCTGTCATTGAATAAACCTGTTTTACTGGCTGGCTGGCTGAGAGTCACGTCTGACTGCGAAGTGGGGGTGCAGAACCCTCTGGCTTCCCCAGGACCCCGCCGGGGCGGACTCGCTGTGGGAAGTGCACGGAGGGGCATATGCTGAATGCTCCCAGGAGAGGCCCAGGAGGTGAAGCTGTGTGAGCTTCTTGCCCTGAAGACAGTCTGCTCCAAGGGAGAGGAGGCTCCCCGAAGTCCTGACTGGCTTTGTGGGGAGCAGTTCCAGAGCATTGCCCGGGGACTCCGTGACAGGGGGTCTCCTCGGGGGGGGGTGCAGGCCCCCAATCTATCCTGCCTGGATCCAGAGAATAGCAGGGCACGTTCATGTCTGGCATGGGGAATGGGGAGCTCTGAGTCTGCTCCTGGCCCCAGCTCCGCGACCTGGGCAACAGGTCTGCTAATGGGCTGAGCAGACTCCCAAGGAGAGACTGAAGGAGACCCTAACACCGGCAGTGGGCCGCGGTGCTCACACACTGTGAGGATAATTATCGTTTAAATACCAGCTTTTTGTCAACGGTGTGGTGGAGAATAATTGAGCATAATTGTTCCCATTGTAACGGCAACAGCAGAGTGAGGCGAAGGAGAGGAGCAATAACCACAGAAATGTCAACCTGTCGGCCGTAAATATACCGGCTCCTTCTGAAGGTTGGCTCCACGGGGGGTGGGGAAGGGGGGCTCGGCCCAGCTGGGGGGCAGCAGTGGAGAGCCAAGCACCTGGCATGCAGGCATGCCAGTATCCGCACGCATGTCTGCATGTGTTTACGTGCATGGCAGTATATTGTGCACGTGCATAGGGGTGAGTGAGCACGTGTATACCAACAGGTGTATGTGCACAGGGGGGGGAGTGTGTGCACACAGGTGGGGGGGATGCGTGTGTGGGGCCATGAGACTGGCTTTAACTAAAGCGAGTGCTGCTGGAACAGAGGCAGGTGTCAGGCATGGGGGGGATGTACTGAGAGGGGTGGGGTGAGCCACCTACTCATCCTCTCTGCACGCTGAGTCCCCTCTCCGCCATCCCTGCCAAGCTCCTGTCTCACCCCCCCCTTGGTGCAGGCCGGGCCCTTGCCCCTCATTCAGCTCAGTTAAAGCCCCTCATACGCAGCAAGGCAGGAAGGCTGTAAGCACAGAATAGGAGTGCAAAGCCTGTATTCACATGGGGATGGAGGAATCAACAGCTGTGAGCAGTGCCCCGTGCTGGGCCAGCTCTGTCCATGGGGTGCTGCCCCACCACTGCCCGCAGCGGCACCCCCTACACCAGTGGTTCTCAACCAGGGGACACGTACCCATGGGGTTACGTACACAAAGACTTCCGGGGGTACGTCAACTCATCGAGATATTTGCCTAGTTTTACAACAGGCTACATAAACAGCACTAGCGAAGTCAGAACAAACTAAAATGGCACAGCGACAATGACTTGTTATTACAGCTCTATTTATATACACTGAAATGTAAGTACAATATTCATATCCCAATCGCTTTATTTTAGAACGATATGGTCACCATGAGAAAGTCAGCCGTTGTGCAGTACGAGTGCGCTGTGACACTTTTGGGTTTCTATGTCTGATTTTTGCAAGCAAGTCATTTTTATGTGAGGTGAAACTCGGGCGTACACAAGACAAATCAGTCCCCTGAAGGGTACAGGAGTTGAGCAAGGGTGAGAGCCACTGCTCCACCCCGCTCTCTGTACACGCCCCTGAATGCTCTGCTCCTGGCTGTGCTAGGCCCCGTCTCACTGCCCCCTGCCCGGGGCTGAGCCAGGGAGGGGAGGAGGGCGCTGGGTTACCCCATGGCACAGCCCCCTGGGCTGGGCCCTGCTGTGTGCCAGGCAGAGGAGGCCAGCCCTGGCTGTGAGTGCTGGGCGAGGCAGATGCTCCCTACGACAGGGCCTCACAGCCTCTCCTGCTCCGAGATGCGGCTCTCCTTGCCGTCCTCCTGTGCTACGGGCTGGCGCCCCAGCAGGGTCTCCTGGACAGGGAAGTCTTGGCGCTCGTCATGCTCCATGCACATCACCACGGCTGGCGGCTGGGGCTCCACGGGATCCAGCCGCTCCGGGCCCTGCCAGGCGGGGGGAAGGTGAGGTGGGGGGGAGGGTCCTGCCGCAGCCCCTCGAGCTGGCACAGTGTGGGGCCAGTGGAGATCCACACCTCTCCTGGGCTCCTGCTGCCCCCTGCTGGGCTGCTGCGGGATAACCAGGGCCTGCCCTCTACCGGCACAACCCCCCATCTCCGGGGGAGACGCTCGGACGCTGCCCCAGCCCCCGGGAAGGCCCCACTGCCCTCACCCCACCACAGGGCGGTGTCCCCTCCGGGCAGGGCTTGGGACAACACCCCTTTTGCCCCATGGGGACAGGGCCCAGGCTGGCTCCCACCCCAGGGCATCTCGCTCTCCACTTGCTCTGTCCTCCCCTCTGGCCCGTCCCTGCCCCTCCCACCCCAGCGGGCAGCAGAAGTGACCCAGGGCCCGGTGCGCCAGGTGCAGCCTGTCCCTGTGGGCCGGGAGGGGGAACCCCCTGCTTGGGGCCAGGTCCCTGACTGCTCGGGCGCATGGCAGCTGCTTTCCTGCCCCGGGGAGTGTGGGCGGCGCAGGGTGACGTACCTGCTTCAGTCTGTGCTGCTGGAGACCTAGACAGGGAATGGGGAGAGTGAGACTCCGGCCAGGCCCAGCCCAGACACCCCATGGCGGGCGGGGGGGGGGAGCCCCGGCCAGGCCCAGCCCAGACACCCCATGGCGAGCGGGCCGGGGGGGGGG